CACCAGATAATCCTATTTAGAATTCACAGTTAATGCAGAATTTTTAAATTTTATATCTTTATTACACATTTTTCTAAGACTTTATTTAAAAAAAACATTCTTCAAGATTGTAATTTGCGTGGCAATAAACAATGGTCTCATACATTCTAAGTTTCTTAAAGGTGTCTATAGCAATTTAAAATACCGCAAGTCTTCTTTTCAATTTGCAGCACCTGACAAAGTTTAAATTCATTTAATGCATCCACTAAATTTGTCAGTTTCTCTTGTGAGAAAGACATGTTTCAATTGTTACTTTCCAGACCATGGAGTGAGCATGGGTGTAAATTATTTTTAATTGGTTAGCAGAATTTTACTCACATGACTTACAGCTAGAACAAGAACTCCCAGCCTCTCTGAATGGCCTTCCACTCAGAATAACGACTATCTAAAATGGATTTGGGTCGGCCCCATTTAACATTACCAAACATGTTTCCATGTTTCCATTACCAAACATATTCTTAGAAAATATGAATTTTAAACATATACATAATATTCTATCACGTGATGCACCATCATCTCTTTAACCATTTCCCAATTGTTGATTTATAGCATTTGCAATTTTGGATATTAAAAATAACATTGTGATGGACACCTTCACCCATTAAGTTTTAAGCAAGATTGACTATTTCTTTAGGATAATGTCAAAGAAGTGGCTTACTGGGTCATACAGTGCACATAGTTTTAAGGCTTTTAATATACTTTACCAAAGAATCTCCAGAATAGCTTGAACAACTCCTACCAAGAGTACGTTATTATGTCCACAAAGTGGACTTGGTAACAAGGAAGCAAATTCAACCATAAATCTGTTAGATTCTCACCCAGCTCAAAACTATCACACCAAAGAAGCAAGGAGACATATTACTGGTGAGGAAGCCACATTTAAAAAAAAAACACTCAGCTTTAATCAGTAAAATAATCAACAGAAATGCTTCCCACAAAAACTCTACAGGGTTTTTCCAAAAATAAAAAGTTAAAAAGAGAGAAAGATAAAAGTCAGTACCAAATGACCAAAATTTTTTATTTGACTAAATTCTATCTCATGCATAAGCATGACAGTGTCCCCTGTTTATTAGACTTTGGCAATAAAAAAACAAGCAGCCTTATACAGAACAGTGAAAACGCCAAGGATGAGGGTGGTCTACAGTTTTACTGTAGGATAAATATATATATATATATATATTTAAAAGGCCTCTCCCCCTTTGGCCATATCAACTTTCAGTTCAGGTCATTAAATACAAACAAATTTTCAAAATCACTTCTTTACTTCTCCGAGATCTTCGATGCTATCATCATCTACCTATAAAACACAAATAATTACACTTCATAAGTTGTGGTAGCAAATAAGAAAAAATGGAATAATTTGCCTCAAAAACTTATTTCTATGTATACATGTGTTCCATGTACTTACCTCTGGCCATTTTTCCTGAATGACATCAATTATGTCATCTGTAAAATCTCCCTGAATGATAATTTCATCCTCCCCTGTTACTGAGGCACCACAGGAGAATTTTTGAGCAAAAAATCTTTGTGCTTCTTTAAGATCAATTTCTGTTTTTTTAAAAAAAGAAAGAGCAAGACTATAATTGGAAATATGCATCAAAGATAAATTTCCATTTTGAAATTTAATCTGCATTTTAAATTCATAAAACAGACTGTGTTAAGGGGTTTCGTATTCCTTTCAGAATAATTATAAATTATCATAGGCAGAGATCCTAACAAGCCTTAATATTTATAATGAGGTCCATTAATTGTTTTTCAATCTGTGCTGTCACATGAGGGGACCATGGTTTAATTTTCACCCCAGTTTTACTATTCATTCAAGGTCTGCAGGAACTAACGGGGCTCTAAAAGCAGGACATTCTGTGCTGCCCACCTTCCCTCACCCTCCACTGTCATTCCCAGAGGGAACAAACCATTCTGCAACCCTTTGCCACCATATCTGCAGAGGACAGAGGAACAGCACTGGATGGTTTCAAAGGGAATCCTTTCCAGCCTTCCTCGTCCTACTTAAAATGTGCCCAAGCATGAATTCTGGGAAGGAAAAAAATAATACCAGTTCCTTCTACAAAAGATTTTCAATTTCTCCAAAATTTGATTTTGAAGCTATAGTTAGAAATGCAAAACCTCACTTTGCATCATAGCAAAAAACAGACCTGTGTAAGTTTTCATGATACCAGAGAGAGCGAAAGAGAATATAGTTCATACACTTTAAATATACTTAAGCCTGAACTCACCAAAAGTTGCAAGGCCACATACTCTTGTTACATATTTCTTCTTTGCTCTGGGAATTTTGGCTATGGTAACCTTTTGTGGTACAGTTTTCTTTTTTTGTTTTATTTGACCTCTTCCACCTTTATTTATTAAGAAAGAGCTCAGCATTAATTGTTTTGTTTTTTGATATAATTATGGAATACTAAGTCTTTAAATTTGTTAATTTTCAAAAGGTTTAAGTTTCTCTAATACAAAATTAATAAACACATGCATGTATTCATTTAATAAACATTTATTAAGTATCTACTATGTGCCCAACACTGGGCTAAGGGCTGAGGACACAAAGATGGACAGAACATAGTCCCTGCCCTCCAGGGACTCACAGTGTAGTGAAGGGAGTAAAAAAAACAGTTAAACAATTATAGTAATCTGATATTTACCATAATAGGACCATGAATAAGGCACTGCCATAACTTTACAGAGGAATGACTTACTCAGCTTCCAGAGGACAGAAAAGGTTTCCTAGATGAAGTGACATCTAGGTTGGGTTTTGAAGAATAAGGAAGTGTCCAGGTGAAGGGGAAAAGGCTGGAGAGGTATAAGAGAGGACATTCTAGGGAAAGAGAACAAGTACAGAGATAAGACGATGCATTTGGAACTCTGGGAACTACACTTGTCTTGACTGAAAGATGCTAAAGGATATGTAGCAGATGAAGCCAGAAAAGCAAAAGATTACATATCGGTCATTAAAGGAATGGTACATCAAGCTCTGATATTTGATTATATATTGTGGAAAAGGAGAAGCCACTGAAAAACCACACAAGACTGAAATAACCAGATTCACATTTTGTCAAGATCCCTCTATGGTGGATCTGTACTTAGGCAGATCTGTGAAGAGTAAGGCTGACAGGCCACTAAAGGAGGCTCTTGCATTAGCTCAGGCAGAAATCATCAAAATCTAAACCAAAGCTGTGGCAACAATAGTAGCAACTAGGCACAGGATAAGAGGAGAAAGAACAGAATTTAGAATTGATTAAAGTGAGCAAAGAGAAAAAAATCTAAGATGGTTCTCAAGTTTCTGGCTCAGATGACAATAAATTGTGCTGTCACTAACCAAAGTTGGGAAAATGAAAGACACTGATTTGGGACTTAGTAAGTTTAACTTTGGCAGTGCTGTGTTTGAGGTGTCTGTGGGACCGTGCACACTTCCAATCTAGAGACATGGGCCAGATTTGGGGAATTTTAAGTGTATAGTGGTGGCAGAAGTTAGGGATGTAACAGAGGCATCCAGAGAGAACATGCAGAACAAGAAGGTAAGAGGGCCTAGGACAGCATCTTGAAAAACACCAACTTTTAAGAGACAGAAAGAAGAAAAGTATGCACAGAAGACTGAGGAGGAGTGACAGGAGAACTAGGAAGGAAGACTGCCACAGAAACCAAGGAAGTACAACACTTCAAGGAGGCAAAGCTCAAATGCTCTTACTATTCAGTGATTATCAAGCCACTGGTGAGCCTTACTACAAGTTTCCGTGGCATGAAAGTTGGGTTAGGACAGACTGAGGAGTGAATAGTGAATGTGAGAGCAGAAAGGGGTAGCAAGTCTAGTCTTAGTAAGTCTGGCTAAGAGGGGAGGGAGGGATAAGATTAAAAAAAATAAATAAATAAGACATAGGCTTTAGGCTTTTGAGATTTTTTTTTTAAAGATGCAAAGTCCTGAAAATATTTATAAGCTAATTTTAGCCATAGGGGAGAATAATTAAAGAAGAAACAGGCAGGGACAGGATCCACAGCACAAGGAATTGGTTTTAGAAGGAAGAGAGAGTTAAGTATACACAACAGCTGTAAAACAAAATTGTCAACTGAGCTATCAGAAGTAATGAGAAGATGAAATCTTTTATAAATGTCCTCACTCCACTTGAATAGAATACACGGGAATTTTAGCTGGCTGGCTGCTTTTTACATATATACAGGGCAAATAAGGATGTTTCATTAAGTCCAATTTACTGATAAAGCGCAAATCATACCACATCTGATCATGATCCTGAGAATACGGTTTTGTACCCCCTGCATGATATACACATGGCTATTCACAGGCACGATCACAGCCCACTACAGCCTCTACATCCTGGAACTCCTGGGCTCAAGTGATCCTCAGCTGGAACTACAGGCATGTGCCACTGCACCTGGGGAACCCTTTTAATTACTTACAACTTCTATCAGAGGGAAGGTATGTTTGTACAATTGCAAACGTGAATTAAGGTCTCACCTCTCTTTTGTTTTTTCTTCTCCTCTTCTTCCCCTGCTGTTCCTTGACCCTCACTAATTCCAGTTTCTTGTTTGGGTGAATTTTCTAGACATAAACATGATATCCAAAAGCATTAACGCCCATCACATAATCATTTCACACTAATGTTAAAAAATCACCTTTGAGCAACCTCATACACAAATAAGACATTTTACCAATAACAGAGCACAACATCTGTCGAGCAAATAATTATATTTCTAGGCTCCTATTCAAGTCTAAATCTAAAGTCATTATGGTTAAGTGTGTAGTAACAGGAGATAAAATAAAGTCTTTGATATGTACAGATTAGGATTTCTTTAGCCACATGAAAGGAGCTTAAAACACTCAGTTGCTGTAGGAGTGTTCTTCTAGCATCTACACATACTTTCTTTCTTTTTTTAAGAGACAGGGTCTCACTCTGCATCCCAGGCTGGAGTATAATGGTGATCACGGCTCATAGTAACCTCAAATTCCTGGGCTCAAGGGATCCTCCTGCTTCAGCCTCCTGAGCAGCTGAGACTACAGGCGTATGTCACCACACCCAGCTAATTTTTTTTTTTTGGTAGAGATTAGGTCTCTCTATGTTGTCCAGGCTGGTCTCAAAGTCCTGGTCTCAAGTGATTCTCCTGCCTCAGCCTCCTGAGTCCCTGAAATTATAGGCATAAGCCACCACACCTGGCTTCAATGCATAATATGGGAACTATACAGCAGCAGTCCCCAACCTTTTTGGCACCAAGGGAGCTCAGACGATGACGTGAGCAATGGGGAAAAGCTGTAAATACAGAGGAAGCTTTGCTGCCAGCCCCCCCCAAATTCCTTAGTTTCATGGAAGACAATTTTTCCACGGATAGGGGGAGGGTTGGGGAGGAGTACAGAGCTCTGCAGCCCAGTTCCTAACAGGCCATGGACCAGTACCACATCTCTGCAGGACAAAGGAGCCAGTTTCTTTTCTTTTCATTTATTTATTTATTATTTTTTGAGAGACTTGCTCTGTTGCCTGGGCTAGAGAGTGCAGTGGCATCATCACAGCTCATTGTAGCCTCAAACTCCTGGGCTCAAGCGATCCTCCTGCCTCAGCCTCCTGAATAGCTGGGACTACTGGCTCATGCCACCATGCCCAGCTCAGCTTTCTATTTTTTGTAGAGATGAGGTCTTGCTATGTTACCCAGGCTGGTATCAAACTCCTGGTCTCAAGCTATTCTCTCACCTTGGCCCCTCAAGTAGCTGATATTACAGGCATAAGCCACTACTTTAAAATAATGCCATATGTGCATTTGTTTCAAGTATACAAGTCTGATGAAAGAAAAAAAATGTTCATACCTACAGTAAGTTTTGCAAACTCTTTTGGAAAATTCTTCTCTAACCACTGTCTACATTTAGCAACATCAGGCATATATTCACAGTACTGGGAGAAAAAAAAAAGAACAAACTGAGTCACAACAAAACATCTTCAGTCAACCAAAACATTTTAATTAAAAATCATTCCCTATGGTTGCTATATAAAGAATGATAAAAACTAACTCCTCCCACCTGAATTCTTATCCACAGGAAATCTATATTCAACCATGAAATGCCCCATGAGAAGTTAGAAATTAAAAAGGACTAGATACCTCCTCACCAAACCAATTTATTTCCTCTCCACCAAACAGAAGGGCCATTAGAGAAAGGAGCAACAAACAAAAATGTCTATTTCCTGCTTTGGGCACATAAGTGCTTCATTTTTATGACTTGCCCATAGAGCCTGACTTAGAAAGTTTTATATACAATGTATATTGCTCTTTCTTTCCTCTGTCAGACACATACATTTTGGCTTTACGGTTACTCTTATTTTATTAGTTATTCATGAGTTCTATGTAAAAATCCAAATGTATAGCAAAGTGCAAAAGATGTACACATGGCTCAAAATCTAAAGGAAAGAATTAAGATTTTATAAAATTATTCTAAATCAAAGTACTCTATAAAAGGTTGAAATTTTACTATCAAGTGGTAGAAAATTAAAAATCAAAAAAGAAAGTTCTAAAGGTAGCTCTCAAATCAAGAGTGATTTTAAAGGCAGAAGTTAAAACACAGAAAAATATTTTAAAAGGACTTACCTCTGTTGGCAATGAACAGACTAGGGAAATGGAGAGAAAAAAGATTTGAAATGTTAAACACATACGTACATACACACACAGGGCTGATCATCACTTTTATATTTGATAGAATACTTCATTTCTACTTTTTTCCTATAATTTTCTTATATCACTTTTCCAATGCTACTTTTTTTGAGGTAAAAGACATGGTTATTTGAGATGATACTATCTTGATTTTTTGATTTAAAGAGTGTCTCATTCAGCTGATGGAACATCAAACTATGCTATCTTGCATATAGTAAAGTCTTACCATACCCATGGGTTCCAGTGGGTCCGAAACTAAGCTAAGATGGGAACGATTCCCCCTACAACAAAGCTTAAGTGGAGCTGATTATTTCTTTTAGTGGCTTTTCCAAAATAGCCATTACTTTTCATGCTTATTGACACTTTTATAAACTTCAGCAGCACTTTTGCTACCATTTCTTTGCAATATACTTTTCCGTTTCTTCTTCATATTATGCTACAGAAGATCATGAAACTAGAAAGCTAGAAGGAACTTTGGTTGTCATTCACTGTATAGCCTGTACTGGCTAAAGGACTAAAGGAACTAAAAGAGCTTCCCGATTTTAACTATGATTCTACCACTGGGTCAATTGCTTATTTCGTTTTTACTTATTTTTTATTTTTTGACACAGGGTCTTGCCATCACCCAGGCTGGAGTGCAGTGGCATCATCATAGCTCACTGCAACCTCAAACTCCTGGGCTTGAGCAATCTTCTTGGTTTGGATTCCCAAGGAGCTAGGACTATAGGACTACAGGTGCACACCACTACACCCAGCTAATTTTTCTTTCTTTCTCTCTTTCTTTTGTAGAGACAGAGGGAGGGGAGGTGTCTCACTATGCTTCCCAGACTAGTCTCAAACTCCTGGCCTCAAGCAATCCTCCTGCCTTGGCCTCCCAGAGCGTTAGGATTACAGGCGTGAGCCACTGCATGAGGCCCTGTTTTTATTTTTAAAGTTTAAAATGGAGTAGTTCACTGGGCCCAGTATCTTGAGACTTCCAAGGGAGAAAAGGGGTGGTATACCATGAAATAACAGCAATTAACATATATTGGGCACCTACGATGTGCCAGGCACTTTGCTATGCTTTATATTCATTATTATATTTAATCATCACCACCTTATAATAAGGTTAGAATTAACATATCTGTATACAGATGAGGAAAATGAGGGCTAGACAAAGTAGCCCACTTGCATGTGGATAACAGGAATTGAACCCTGGTCTGTTTTTGAAGCTCATGCTCTTAACCACTAAATTAGGTTGCACAAAGTAAGCAAGTAACTTAGCTGTGACAGCCAAGTCAAAATGATCTGCTTTCCCCTCACCCAACTAATGTACCACCATGCTACCACCCATCACTATTTTATATATGGGGCCCTAAACAAGTTAAATAGCTCATCCAGTAACGAAGGTTGAATTGCAGGTTTAATTTGCAGGAACGCACCATAAGGAACAGACTAATCCAGTAAATGGAGCACTTTATAAGGCACTGGCTTGGACTCTTCAAAAAGTATCATTTTTTAAAAAAGAGGGGATAGGGATAGGGAGTTCTAGATTAAAAGAGTAAAGAGATACATCCATCAAATGCAGTTTGCAAAGCCTGACTAAATTCTAGTTAAAAGTTGGGCATGGTGGCTCATGCCTATAATCCCAGCTACTCAGAAGGCTGAGGCAGGACGACTACTTGAGGCCAGGAGTTCAAGACCCTGTCACTAAAATTTTTTTTTTTTTTTTAATTAGCCAGGTATGGTGGCACACACCTGCAGTCCCAGCTACTTGGAAGGCTGAGGAGGGAGGATCACTTGAGCCCAGTTCAAGATTACAGTGAGCTATGATTGTACTACTGCACTCCAGCCTGGACAACAGAGCAAGACCCAGGCTCTTAAAAAAAAAAAAATTTCAGATTAGGTGTCTATTGCACTCACAGAATGTTAGGTCCACAAGAACAAAAACCTTTCTGATTTGTTCACTACTCAGTCCCTACCACCTAAAAAAACATTGCTAGGCACATAGTAAGTGCTCAAAAATATTTACTGAAAAAATTAATATTTACCCTTTTACTGTCCTGTATCTTCAAATTTTTCTGAAATTTTCCAAGATGCTAATAAAATAGAGCATTTGAAATTCAGAAACATTTCTGTATTGAAAACGAGGAAAAGCACTTAAAGGGAAAAAGATCTTGATTAAACCTAACACACGGAATATTGCTCAAACCAAGAAGACTTTCCCAACTGTCCCAATACCCATCACTCCAACCTCATGTCCCACTCCTTAACTGGCACCCTCCCTACTCTGTACACTATAGTAACTCAAAGCTGTTCGTTTGTCCACAGATATGCATCAAGCTTTTTCCTGCATAATTGTCCACTTAATCCGGGATTCCCTTCTTCACTTTCTCATCCAGTCCTTGTCACCCCTAACGACTCAATACCCTCCAAGAAGTCCTCCTTTAATAGCCAGACTAGCGCATAACATCAGGCTGAAATAATCTATTTGCACGTCTCTATTCCAAATGGACTGTAAGCTTCTCCAGGCCAAATTACACAGGTTGGGAAGATCTGTTAACCCATGCCTCCTCCTCACCAGACCCCAGCCATTCCCCAGCTGAGGATTCACCAAATGACAAAGACAGATGGGGGGTGGGGTGCTTAATAGACCAAATGTGACACTTAATGGTGCATAAAATATACCACAATGCATAAAAATAGAGTAAGAGTCATTTTCTGCCTTCCAACACTTGCCTCCACAATAAAGGACTCGAAGTGGGTAATCGGCATCTAACTTGGCACTGTTCCTTGGGTCTCCTTTGGAATCAGCTCCACTGGATTCAGAAATGTCAGCAGCCATTTCACAAACCTGTACACAAGGAAAGTAACACATTTTCACTACTGTGGACTAAGACCCCAGAAGAGCAGGAGTCAGGGGCTGTCTTGCTGCCTCTCACTAGAAATCCCCCCCACCCCAAAGCTGTTTCAATTCTCTGATAAGTGAGGGATACAGGCTGCACTACATCCATAAAATATGAGCAACTGCAGTACATCATCTCCCTGGTCCTCAGGTCTGCAGGGAAGCAAGCAGCAAACGGACCATGGAGGATGGGAAAGAGGGGTGAACACTAGAAAAGGACGGGGTGGGGGACCTCGGTAGACGTGGAGCAAAAGGTGCGAGGGTGATCCGGGAGGGATGCAAACTGCAGTGCGAGAGAAAGGCTACAAAGCAGCTGGCGAAGAGAGTCTGGAAAAGCCTAGGGAGGAGGGGTGGGTCACCGGAGGTGCCCAGAGTTCAGGGCGTGGGGGCAGCTAAACGGCAAGGGAGGGGCATGAAGAGTCGGGAAAGGGGATAGGATAGGATGGGGGCGGGCTGTCCAGAGCCCGAGGAGAATGAGGAGAAAAGTGGGGGGAAAAGAACCAGGAAGGGGCAGAACGTAAGAGCACTGAGGGGACAAGGGCCACCAGGTCTGAGGCGAAGGGGCGATCCCAAGGGACACCAGAAGGGGCCCATGTGGGCGGGGGTGTGGAGACGCCCGGCCCGGCCCCCTTCCGCCAGGCAGCACCTCAGCTTCCAGCACGCTCTCTACGAGCTTCTCGGAAACGGGAGAAGCACGAGGGGTCGTTACCCAGGCGGTCGCACAAGTCTCGCCGCCTCCGTTCCCGCCGCTATCGCCAGCTGAAGCGACACATGCAACTCCTTTTCCCCGGCCAGGGCCGCCCAAGAGCCCCTCTGCCAGCCGCGTTCCCGCGAGACAATGAGCCTTTATCGCGAGATTCAGGCTGCCGCTGGGCGGATGTCGCGAGAAGCCTGAAGGCGAGGGCGGAGCGAAATTAGTGAGCATGCGCCTTCCGGCCCGGGGGCGGGACCCAGCGCCTAGAGGCGGGGTAGCAGGCGGTGCTCGTTACCTGTTGCTTAGGACGAGTCGTGGGAGATGCCCGGGTGGAAGGGGTCACGCCTGGACGTGCTCCTGAGTCAGAAATGACTCCCGATTAATGAGCCCGGGGAACATCGCCGCAGTGTCTCGGATGCATCCTGGAGTCCTGACTAACCTCCAGCCTACTGGATAAGTCACTCCTCTGCGGGGAGAATGCGGCTGGACAGGGCACTTGGTTTCGTTTCAACACCATGCCCTAAATTGGAGGAATTCTTCTTTGAAAAGATACTATCAACACTATTTAAGTTTTCTTCATCGTCCGCAGTCTCACCACCTTAACAACCGTTTTTGTCACTTTCTTCGTGTTTACCTATCCTTATATGTGTTCTGACTTGGAATGACTCTATCCCATCGCAGACTTTCTCAGGAGCTGAACGCCTGGTGGATATAACCACATACGGTGTGTCCTGTTGGGCTTGGAGGCAAATCCCTTCATGTCCGCACTCAGCCTGAAACCCATCTGTGAGATGGGAGTGCTAACACTACAAGGCTTGCAGAGATAGGAGGGGTAGGGCAATCATGACCCAACAAAGTGCTTTGTAGACGGTGAAGTTTGTTCTTTCCTATTTTGCTTAATCCTCCACTCACACCTACCTTATTCTCCTCCTTCCCTGCCAACTCCATTCACCATTGCTACTGCCACGCATTTAATTTTCTGTTTACAACTTACGTTGCGTGTGCACTCGGACATCTGGCACCATCTTTTCCACCAGTCGTGTGTATCCTCCACCCTGACATCTTTCTTAAATGAAAGAGGAGTTCCCCTCCCCCACTCACAAAAGGGTCAATTCTACGTGACACTTGTGAAAGAAGAAAAGATCTTGTTGCCACCAAAGCATGTTTGATTCCAATAGTAATAGCTTCCGCGTATTGACACCCATCCACCCCCACTATGTGCCAGGAACCACCCATTTGGGGATAACGAGTCCAGGTGGATTCATTCCACAAAATTTTCTTAGGTTCCTGTGCTAGGCACTGCGAATATCACATTGAACAAAAGAGCTAAATCCCTGTCCTCACTAAATTTATCTGTCTTAGACATGTTAGCTGATTTAATCCTTACGAAACCCCTGTGAAGTGGGTATTAATATTATTGTCCCTAATTTCCAGATGGTAAAATCAAGGCTCAAAGGTGGAAATGAATTAAGTTCACATACGCTTAAGATCACACACAACAAATAGCATATTTTACTGATCTTAAGATGCATTCTGGTGTTCGCAGCCGCCGTTGCTTTGTAATGCCAGCTCCGCCTCCAGCTCCCCGAATTCCAGCAGAAGGAAAAGGTGGGTACGTAAGGAGGTCTTTATACCACGGCTTGGACAGCGCAGACTGTTTTTTACCCAAAAACCGACCCGGGTAAAGCACCCAGGAAGTAACTGGCTACAAAAGCCGTTGACAGGAGCGCGCCCTCTGCTGGAGGGACGAAGAACCCTCAGCGCTACAGGCTGATACCCTGGCACTCTGTGAAATCAGACGTTATCAGAAGTCCCCTGAACTTCTGATTGGCAAGCTTCCTTTCCAGCGTCCGGTGCGAGAAATTTGCTCAGCACTTCAAAACAGACCTGCGCTTCCAGAGCACCGCTATTAGAGCTTTGCAGTAGGCAAACACCTGGTTGGTCTTTTTTGAAGACACCAATCTGTGTGCTATCCATGCCAAGCATGTAACCATTATGCCAAAAGACATCCAGCTAGTTTCAGCAGTTCAACTTTTACAAATAAACCTGTTAAATTTTTCTGGACAATGCTAGCATTTAGACTTCTTTTTTTAGACAAGTAAATTTCTTATTGACAGCAATTAAATGGTGTTTGTAGAATTTTTATCATACAGTAGATTCCATCCATTCACTATACTTTTCTAACTGCGTTGTCCTCCATGCAAGCACATGTTTTTAACGCTGTCTGTCTTCTGTGCTGCTCCTGTAAGTTTGCTATTAAAATACATTAAACTATAAAAAAAAGATGCACGTTTTTCACATTTCAACATCTCTCATATCGAGATGCATTGCAATGAATGGAATGTCAGCATTGTCATCATAGTTTAGTTGGCAGCATTTTTCTGTCTCACTGGTGCACAAAATAATGGTGCATCTTACAATAATGGCACCTTAGATGTGATGAAATATGGACAGGTGACCAGTGCTGCATAATAGACCAATGTCTTCAGTTTCATTCCTCACCCTTTTCCTGCTCTACTTGGCGTGGAAGAGGGTGCTGCTCCTGCAGACTGTTGGCCCCGGCTCCTTGTTCCCTGGCTTCCAGCTAGGATCAGCCAGTGGGAGGCGGCCATGCCATCCACTCACATCACCCCTTGAGCAGCATCTCTGGCGGTAGCTGGTTCTCCCTCTGCATTGTTAGGGGATCCCAGCCCCTGGACTCCTATGACATACAACCCTGCCTGGATGTGGTCTCCAGCCTGCGGGTGGTGATGGCTTCCTGCTCTATGTTGTCTCACAGTTCCATTCCACACGTAGTCAATTCCCTGAATTAAATTCTTCTTTGCTTTACATACTTATATGGGGTTCTTTTTTCTGGGTGAATTCTGTCTAACACAGTTGACATTTAAACCTAGACCTGTACTTCCTGTCACACCCCACAGTCTTTCAGCTTTTAGTCACTAAAATATGGAATGATATAACAAATAAAGAAAAATCCCAGTATTTTCTCACCAGGAAGCCACAGACTCTTTGAGAGGCAGTGGAGTTATTGCAAAGGATACAGGAATCCACCTGTGCACCAAGCATTGTCAGTAAATTGATTAAATATCTTTTAGACATAAGTATTCCTATTTTCTAGTGTACGTCACAGGTTTGTTCCAATGAAAGTCCAAAAGTTGAATCTGACTGGCCTGGTTCAAGTTATATCCATTCCTAAATCAATCATCGTCACTAATCAAATCCCAAATCAAGTGTCTGTCTTTGGAGCTGCGTCTGGAGAACGGAAAGAGGGCACATCCCAAAAGAAAACTGAGTCACTATTACAAGATGGAGTGATGCTAAGGTATGAAAACAACAGATATTCACTACAAGCAGTCTAGTACTCACACACACTAAATACTATTAAATAATCTGGCACCAGTAACACATCAAGTGTCTAGATGAGGCAGACTTCCTTACTAACAGAATCCCATCTTATTTGAGATAGTGTGTCTAGCTAAAGACACTCAATGTCCCAGCCTGCCTTGCAATGAAAGGGGCTATGTGACACAGTCTGCACAATGAAACGTAGGTGTTGTAGAAGTCCCTGAGGAGCGCAGGAAGTTTCTGGCAGGAGGCACTGTGAAAGATTTCGAAATGGGCAAAAAGGAATCCTGGGAATCCTATCCAACACACCCTTGGGTGCCATCTTCATCCTTCACTGTTAAGCTATTGTACAATTTTGTAAATTGTAGGAAACCTGATAGTAATGCATACGGTCTTGTCTCTAGAAATGCAAATGAATTTCATCTGGAAGAGCTGCAATTGATTAATTCTCTGTTGATATTGACTTGTTTTCCATCTATTTGGAAATTCATCTCAGTAATCCTGATTGCCTATTATGCATGTATGTAAGTATGATTGTGTGTGTGTGTTTTTAAAAATTCTTCTTTGAACTGGTTTTGACATCTTACTGACCCCCTTATTAATTAATGAGTGGAATAAAATCTTGGCTGGGTCCTGTAATCCCAGCACTTTGGGAGGCTGAGGCCGGAGAATCACTTGAGGCCAGGAGTTTGAGACGAGCCTGGGCAATATAGTGAGACCCCATCTCTACAAAAAAGTTTAAAAATTAGCCGGGTGTGGTGGTGCATACCTGTATTCCCAGATACTTGGGAGGCTGGGGTGGGAGGCTGAGGCAGTAGGATTGTTTGAGCTCAGGAGTTCAAGTCTGCAGTGAGTTATGATCACACCACTGTTCTCCAGTCTGGGCAGCAGAGCAAGACCCCTGTCTCTAAAAAAAAAAAACAAAAAACATAAAAAAACAACTTTACACAAGTTACATGTTTATTTTATAATTGAATAAGAGTCATGCTTTTATCCTTTTAAAAAATGTATCATTTTAGGGCAACATACGTAACCTAAATATCTGTACCCCTATAATATGCTGAAATTTAAAAAAATGTATCATTTTGCACTTCCCAAATAAAAAAGCAAGGACTTACATAAAAAGCCTTGACCTTTCTCCCTTCTCTGTGGCTAGACTGTGAACATAATAAGGCAGGAGGTACCACAGCCATCTTGCAGCCGTGCCGGGCAAGCCTGAGAATGAAGGTCTGTTATCCTGCATGCTCAGGACGGACTGGACACATAGAAGTAGCCTGGGTTCCTAACAGCATTGTTGAGTCACCATAGCAGCTCTTGACTTTCTCTGTTCTGGGTGCCTATTGTGAAAAACAGGTGCTCCCCTATCTCTTGAAACCAATGGAGCAAGCCTTTCTGTTGTGCTACAGAATGCATTCCTAGCTGATGTTATCAGAAAGTCGGGTATTTCCTTTAGCACGAGAGGGAAACCCGTGAGCAAGCAAAGCATGCCTGAAGTCAGGAGACGAAGGTGAGACTAAGCTAAAGGATAATGGGGAAGTGATGTTGCAAGACTGGCCATTCAGACCAAGTGTGGAACAAGGGGCAATTTTGACACTCACTTTCTGAGAAGTCTTCTAGTGAAGAAAACAAAAGGGCTTGCCCTGGGCTACCTGAATTAGAAGTGACTTCTTAAACATGTGATGCCTATCATAACATGGTCTAGATTGTCAAGAAATCATGGGTTTGATTTTTCCACTTCTGGGGCTGGATTGGTCCTGAGCCGGACATTTTCTTTCATCTAGTTCTTTCTGGGCATTTTCAAGATGATCACTTGCGGTGAAGTGGATATTTGTTGATTGCTTT